ATATATTTGTGTGTGTGTGTTTGGGGTCGCTGAAACCGTCTCTGAAGTCCATTTAACCTCATCACATCGTATTTTTCACATAACCCTAAAAAAATTTAAAACACCTGCCTGCTTGGAGAGAAGGCAGATCTGGCGCCTGCGATATACTAAGCAATCTGCCATACAACAACGTGATGAGTATGGCAGATTGCTTAGCCCGGTGCCCATATTACTCCATCAGGTTTTTGACATAACCTCAAATAATATAAAGAATGAAAGATATTTTTAATCGAGGGGCCAGGCCATCTTATCTGTATGTTTTGGGGTCATTGAAATCGAATCTGAAGTGCATTTAACTTAATGACATCACATTTTTCACATAAACCTACAAAATTTAAAACACCTGTGTCTGCTTGGACAGAAGGCATATATGTACCGACGATACTCTAGGCAATCAGCCACACAACAACGTTATTAGTCTTGTCCCGGTGCCCATATTACTCCATCAGGTTTCTGACATAACCTCAAATAATATAAAAATTAAAGCTATTTTATCCGATGGGCCAGACCATTCACCTATATGTTTTTGGGATAGCTGAAGCCGAATCAGAAGTGCATTTAACTTCATCACATCGGATTGTTCACATAACCTCAAAAAGTTTAAAACACCTGCCTGCTTGGAGAGAAGGCAGATCTGGCGCCGACTATTTACTAGGCAATCTGACATACAGTAACGTGATGAGTGTTGTCCCGTCAGGGGCCAATTCCACCTTCTCTCTCAATTATAATTGATCTTTATTAGAAAATCTGATATGATGAAGTTAAGTGTCATGTTCCACGAGTTGCCCGCTCGTGTGATGCGCTTCTGTTTGGGGTGAGGGTGGCGGTGAGTGACGGGTGTGCGTGTGGTGCGCAGCGGACGTGGTGGCGTCGGTGATCCTGAACGGCGACGAGCTGAAGCGCGAGGGCCGCTCGCACCTGAGCATCAACAGCCTGTCCGTGGACCTGAGCATCGGCCACGCCGCCGTGCACCTCGACGGCCTCTTCGACAACGACCCGGAGCTCGGTAAGCATCCATCGCCCGCCATTAACACAAGGCGTGCTTTTTTCTTGCCTTGCACATCGGCTTAATGCGGCAAAACAGAGGAAGTACTAAAGTCACTCTTAAAGCCGGCGCCCATTAAGGATTTTAACAGGCAGCCGTTCGTTAAGAAAAATCAAACAAATGTTTTGTGAGACTAATGACTTCCACTCATGAGTTTTAGTTTCAATTCGGCCAATAGCGTTTTGTAATAAAATGGTAATAAACCAATTATGGACCTAAAATCGAAAAGTTTAATTTTAAATACAACTTTACATTTAAAATACAATTCGTAAACTATTTTCACTAGCGATGTGAGCGCGCGTGTACGTAACAAGAGAGACGAGGCGAATTTATACTCTTACGAACCATACTAGAAACAATTCACTTTTACGAATAATAACATCGAAAAACGTAATGGAATAATTTCAAATTTTGAAGCGTGGTTAATGGAAATACTCCCACTAAGAACATGACATTGACACATCTCTCGACACGAAACAGAATATTACTGCGGTGAAGTCAGCCTCCGACACAATTTATGCCAATCCACCCCTCTCGGACCCTTGAACTGGAAATATAAACAAAAGTTTATCTCTCACGTTTATTCTCACCACAGAACAGTGGTGTTTGTGTGTTATGTCATTGCAGCAGCACCAAACGCAGAGTTTACGCATGAGGAAAACCAGCGCATCTCCCTTCCGTCGCTAAACATTCAATCCCGGAATAAAAGATAACAGGAAAACGTTATGTGATGACTTTAACTGAAGTTAATTTTCATATTCAAGTCATCGGTATCTATGATTACAAGGTCCTTTCAAGTTGGGACACATTTCATTGTTCCTTTTTGGTAACAAATCTTGGATAGTAAACGAAACGAATCTTTTAGCAGCAGACTACAGAAAGTTGATATTAAATTTTGGATCATATATTAGTTTAGAGAAAGATGATAAGGGATAAGAAAATATGTAGGTATATATTAAGTTAGTAAATGAATTATAAACACTAAATTACTAGCTTTATCTATGTACGAAATTTTGTTATTACCATATTATCCTTTGTATTAATATATTATTCTTGTGAAAATTCAAAAAAAAAATGCCGTGGTATTTTATCCTTTTTAACACTTATATTAAAAAATATAATACAGGGGGCAGCTTTAATATTAAAGTCAAGTGTAATGAACTATTTGTTTACAACTTCCCATAAATAGTGACAGGTCTTGAGCGATATCTTGCATCCGGTTTAATGAGTCAACTGGACTTTTCAGTTCATAACCGCAGGATGGTTTTTCTTTTTCCAGAGGAGGCCATGAACCTGTTCCTGAACGACAACTGGCGCAACGTGGCTGCGGAGATGCGGCCGGCGCTGGAGCAGGCCGTGGCCGACCTGTGTATGCACCTGGCACGGAGCGTCTTCGACAGCTTCACTCTGGAGCAGCTGCTGCCCCCCTAGGCCTCCCCGCACCGCCCCGCCCCGCCCTCGTCGCTCTGCCCTGCAATTGACGCAATCATCGGTTTCTATCTGTAATGTCCGTGCGATGCACACAATAAGGGTTGGCAAAAAATGGACCGTGAAATTACGTGAACTTGGCTGTAAGGCTGGAAAGTGTCGTGCGGTAATGCAGAAGGAGAAATCGCAAATCCCAGGGTTCAACAACCTACCTGTTAATTATGATATTACGTATAATGTTTAGAACGTACCGTAATTGAATGGCTTGAATAACACCGAGTTTGCAAGTTGTCTTGTTTACGTATTATGTTGCGTAACTATTCACTAATTATTATCATTATTCTTTGATAATTAATTCACCATATTAGAGAAATAATTGAATAATAGCAATATTGCTATAGGTTCCCTATTCTCTTTCCTACTTCACATTCTTAGTTCAGAGATTTATTGAGAGATATAGCTTGTTTTCTACTATACGATCTCGAAGTGTTATCCCAAACAATTACGCAACTACGTGGGATTATTTCAGTGAGGTTTATGAATGTTACAAGAAATATTGACTCATTCATTTCATTATATTTCAATCTATTTAATTACTGTCAATTAAAATATTTGTAATATAAAGATCCCCAAAGTGAAAAACACATTAAAAACAGAAATGAAGTTTTTGTAATTATAATTTTTATATGTTTGTAGAAATATTTTAACGAGAATAAAATTATTTATATTCTCTAAAACTGTTTTATCTTTTCACAAACTAAATGTTTAGATAGTTTTGAATCACATGTTAACCGACTACGCAATGTGAAAGAAAATGATTGGGTAGCATGGATTCATGTAGGTCTGAATGTTCCTTTCTATATTCCAATCTGCTACATATTTTAGCAAAAGATAATTATCAATATTTATTGAAAAGGCCTATAAATGCTGCAAAATTCCTTTCGTAACTTCTTACGACAAAAAATGTTCAATACGGGCACTGGTAGACACTATAATAGTAAGATATTGAATGCATTTGTTAACATAGTAACCTGGTTTAAAATAAATTCAGTGGTGGTAGCATATCTTGTGGTAATCCATGTTATAAAGTAAGAAATAACCAAACCACGAAAATTCAAAGTTTTAATATTTATGAAAACATTTGTACCCAAAGTCAAAAATATTTTAAACTTAGCATTGAAAATTTAAGAGGATAAGGAAAGGTATTGTAGTCAAAAGCAGTATTTTTGGTATATTTTTTCCATCTTCAACATTTTCTCTTTAAATTGGCATTTGAATTATGTTGATATCACCCTTACAAGTATGTTTGAATTATTTAAATGTGAGGAACTTCTCTCATTGGGCATACGTGCTGGCTTCAATACTTGTAGATACTGTAGCACAATGAAGATACACTATATAATGAAAGACTTACATATGCAGAAAGTAGATTGAAAAATTTATGTTCTGAAACTAATCAACATAAAATCTCAAAAGAAAGAAGTTTTTGGAAAATGTTTATTCTGATGAGGCAAGTTATCGAGCTGGTGTGTTCGGATGGGTGCATATTTCAAGCCAATTTTTCGAAAGTTTTCACTTTTAATACTAATTGTCCGTTTCTTTAACTTACATTTGCAATAGGAAACAACTTTTTAGTGCTTGTTAATAAAGCCCATCTACATTTACTGAAACATTTTTTCTGAATATTTTAGTATTATACATTCTGCAAAATTTTATTTACTAGAAAGCATGGTAAACAATTGTATCAGGACAAAGTATTTTTATCTACAAAATAGTAAACATTTTCCAAAACCATTGTTTCAGTGTTTTTATGAGTAACATATATTTAAGCTGTAAAAATATCATAAACCTAACTTCAACAGATTCTGAGAGTTAGACACAAAAATTTAACACTGCCAGGATAGGGCATTCGATGTTCCTTTAAAATTGAATTAAAAAATAAACAATTTTAAAAAAATATTTAAAATACTTTTGCATTATCAAACATTTGAAATGATTCACAAATAACTCTTTAATCGCGTGTTCTCTGATAAACCAATTCTATCGAGTGGTTTAAGCAATAGAAACATGAAAATATTTCGCTTCATTGTTTTGAAAATGAAAATTGCTTCATTCTTCTGCAACTTCGAACTGCCTGTCCACGATCTGTGCCTTGTAACAAAATAGTTCCAATATTGTGCGGGAGTTAGCATTGCATAGAATTTCATAGAAAATTAAACTTTATTTTATAAAAAAAGATAATGTAGCCGATCAGATGGGCGAGATTGCTGAAGCAGTTGTGCAGCAGCGGTATCGCACCAGAAGATCGCGGGTTTGAATCCCACCTCGAGCGTGAGTGTATTTGTATTTGTCTGTATATTTGTATCATCTTCACACCTATTATTATCATGATTTCATCTTTCTCTCCCACCCAGGGCTAACAATTCTGGGGGATAAAAATCGGATCCAGCTGAAATGCTGATCCCCCTGATAAAAATTTCATACACTTGATACCGAGATAATATTTTTGACCCCTGGTAAATGCAAGGTGGATGCACGCGAGGTCTAAGTTGGCCTATTCGCGAGCAAACTAAAAGAAAATGTATTTTTTCAATCCAACGTTGCATAGATTTTAAATCTCTGCTCGTTTTTGAACATCAATGTATTGAAGTGGAAGTATCCAGAAGTGCTCAATCTCCAAAAGGGTCTTAGATGATTCATTAAGGTCTCATTTTATATAATGTCTTAAGAAAAATTTTCCGGATCCCACGTATGCCACTGCATGTTTCCCTGCATGTATCCCGCACGGTCCCCCATAATTTCTCCACAAGTTCTCTGAATGTTTTTATTATTTTTGTTATTTAAGGTCGCATGAACTTCTAGGTCATTAGCGACTACTATTGCGTCTAACGATATGGTAACTGTGAGGGTGACACGATATGGTAACTGTGAGGGTGATACGGGGTGAAAGGACGAACACAAATACAACTACGCCCCAGGCGGGACTCAAACCCGCGATCTTTCGGTCCGACATTGCTTTGGCACTACTGCCTTAGCGATCTCAGTCATCCGGACCGGTTCCCTGAATGTTGTCCGGTACATTTCTCGCAAATTCCTCACACGTTCCCCTCGTGTGTTACCCGCCTGTTTCATACATGTTTCCCCGCATCTTCACCACACGTTTCTCACATATTTCTCGCTTTTTCCTTGGAATTTTTCTCCGCATTCTTCCGCGTATATACTCCACGCGCACGATTTCATACCCCCTCCCCTACACACACATTTTCTCTGTTTGTCCTCCTAGTGTTGCCAAATGTTCTGTTAGTGTTCTAAATGATTCCCACGTGTTTTCTATACGAAACTCACATAATACTCACATGGTCCCCCTAGATAAATCTAGAAACACTCTGAAAATTCAGAAATTTATTTTGTTTTTATTACGGAAAACGTGACTAAACCTTGCTGCGGCTGGTAAAATCATTACTTTAAAATAGAAAATAGCTTCATACTGGAATCAAATTGCGAACGTTTTTGATAATCCATGCTAAAGAGTGTGAACTCTTATAATGTCGTAGGTCTCATTTTGTTGATTTCAACATAAGAAACACAACTAGAGTCTCTTTGGTGTACTTAAACATAGTTTTAAGGGCCTCACGTTGCGGAGCTCCTTAGTTACGGATGAAAACGAGCGATGTAGCGTAACGTGTGTTGCCAAAGAACTTCTATTGTTTCGAACTTCCATTCATTCGTCTCTAATCTGTTTGAAGTAAGAGTAAATAACTTTCTATTCATCAGTAATAAAATTACGCATTTTTTCCTCGATGGTTTCTTGTCTTTGTGTTCTGAAGAGCAAACCATACATACCCTAACGAATGGGAGCTTTTTTACGACAGTTGTACGGAATTCCTGCAATAATAAAACACCCCTTAGTAAATGTAAGTAATATTAAAGATGCAATCGACTCCGGTTATAGTGAACTTCCGGGGAGCAACATTTCTGTTTCACTACATCAGACGTTCACTATATCCGATGATGTCAAAATTTAATTGAACTACTTCACAATTATTAATTATATTAATACAGAGATACAGCAAAATACATTAACAGCACGAATTCAAAATTTCAATATTCTTATTTGACCTTAAAAAGTCAATTATTTTCGATTGTTGGTTTTGTAAATTTTTCATTAATAATTTATCTATATCCTTCTCCACAGTTCATGCTCACAGCTTGCGGCCATCTACAAAATATAAAGTTATTGAGAAAGCGAGGTATTCCGAAACGTTTCCTCCTTTTGGCGTTGTTACTCAAGAAATTCTGATGTTTTAAAGCAAGACATCGTGCCAGACATCGAGATCCAAAATTGAGGGATAAAGTTGCCTTGAGAAATAAATATGTGGTTATAATATTGGAGTAAAACAGATTCAAAATAAATTTGAACATTTAAACGTACCCTCAAAAATGGTAAGACCCCCAAAATGAATATATCTTCATGGTCTCCAGAACGGCACAAGTAGATCTTACTTCTGACGAATTCACCAAGATCCAGCTATAATGATTAAAAAATGACAGCGTTATGAGCGAAACATACATTTGTCATCTATCTATCCTGATTTTCATGTACAAAAATGTGTATCTCTCTTCACCTTTTTTGCGATGTAAAAATTTGGAAGGTGGCGCAATTCTAGTTTCAGATTCGGATTCAGCGCATCGAAATACCTAGAGAAACATGAGTTAAGCCTTTGAGTTTGAGAATATTGTTTTTGTGTGCGGTGCCAGATTATAAGGAACATGCCTATTGAATACAACACATCTCATCTCTCTCGACTATCACCTGGGATTAAGAACGGATTTATATAACCTTATTTTATTATCCGTTCCAGGTTCCTTTGTTGCGGTGTCGATTTTGGAGTTGTTTTTATTTTCTCTCTTTAATTAGGGGCGGGTGAGATGAGGCTTGCGCAACCTTGTACATACTAAGTCAAAATATTAATATTGGGTTTGTGTCAATTATTTAAAAAGCTTATACCCCTCTCACACCCGACCTCACTAGCAGTAATTGAATCTGATGGAAGAATGTATAATATTATCATAAAGTCTCTCTGTTTAGACAACTAAATTTTATATATCTCACTTCTGATATTGTCAATTTCGTAGTTTACTTAAATTAGAATAAGAACTCTAAGAGGTGAGAATATCTTAAATCACAAAATAAATTAAATATTTATTTATATTGGGATTGTAGAGGGAATAGAGAATCATAATGTTTTTGATTAGAAAATAATATTTTTAAGACACACAAATTACGGTATCACTTCCAAAAAAAAGTATGGATTAAACATATAGGGGCAGTGTTGTTGAGGGCAATAACACAAAAACAGTTTAAAAGGTTCCCCCCAGAAAACTGT